GTCAACCAAGCTGTCAACAAAGATGATAGTGTAGCATGATTGAAAATATTATACACATTACAAATGCCCAATAATGTATCAACACCAATTAAACTGTATTATTAAAAACGTAAGATCCTAAAAAATCGAATTCATGTAATCATAATCTTACTCTGGAATGAAAAAATCACAATGTCCTTCATATTCTATACATAATTGATTAACACAAAATCAAAACCTACGCTGAAAAATAAGAAAAAAAAGACAGGACAATGTGCTTCTACTCAGATCCATTCTGTATAATTGTTCTTTTACGTGATATTCATTTTCATTTTGTGTTCTTCATTAGCTTCTTGCTTACCGACGGCGTCGAGATCCCACCCTTTGGCTGGCAGTTTTGTTTGTCCCCCTTTTTGTCCTTTGGTATCGAGGGATTACCCCTTCATCCGTTCAAGTGAGTATGAACACCCACTTTATCTTTTTCAAGACATATCCCTCTTTGCCTTCTTTCTTCCAGTTGGACTCCTAAATTGGATTTTCTGAATTAATTTTGTAGTTAAGGGACTTGGTAGAGAGATTGAACAGTGAGTTTAGGTAAAATGGTGAAAGAATTCAGGGAAGACACAAAATTGGGTAATTTTTTTTTTTTAGTTAATTATCTTCACTACAATATAAAAGAGGCGAAAACTTGGCCGCCACATGTCGCAATTTCCCATCGTCGTCAATGCGTTTTATTTTTTTCACGCATCTCCTCCTCCTCCTCCTCTTCACGCAACCCATCCCATCTTCAATTTTCACACGCATTTCCCCCAATCATCTCCCCCTCTTCACGCAACCCATCTCATCTTCCATTTTCACAAGCATTTCCCCCATTTGTTAACGCCATTTACCTTCATAGAATTTCAATTTCCATCCCGATTTCGATTCCGAATCCGATTTCAAACCCCACAAAAAACCGATTCTTCGTCGCCGTTCCTTCAGGTAATATTTGGTGAATACAATTCCAATTTCTCTGAAAACTTCGATTTCGATTTCGTTCCAATTTTAATTTCTTGTTAATTTTATTGATACGTTTTTTTTTAATAGTTTAAAATGGTCATGAAGAGCCGCAGTGGGCGTAGGATACCCGAGTGGAGCAACAAATGTGTGTTGTGTAGTGTGTAATACCATCACTTCTTTGCCTACGTAAATTTGAATTTGAAATTTCAGCGAAACTATAATTTGTTTGGGTGTCCCTTGAAAAATGTTGAATTCTTTATGTTTTAAATCAAATATCATATAATCTGTTTGAGTTTGATAGCTTGATCCGGGTATTGGACGTTCCAATGTTTTGAGTGATGCTACAAATACATAACTTTCCACATAATGGTTTACATAATTACACGTGGCATTCATTCAAACCTTTAATTCAAATCTGACATTTAAACATCAACGACAGGATGTGTGACACATCATATTGTGTCAATCATTGTGTACATTTATTATGTACACTTAACATTTTCCCAATGTTTTATATGTGACTTAAATATCCCTCCTCTCAGTAATGGAAATGTCCCAACTGATATGTGAAGGTTGTTGTACACCCATGATGCTAATTGATGTCTACCATTGATTGTTAAAACTCACTATTATGTTTGTAATAAATATGTCAAGCTTTGATAATTATGTACATTTAATTGATGATCGATTCTTAGAACTCACCATGAAAAAATGCTGGGAAGAGAAAAAAAATAAAAAATTCTTCGTGCGCACACGGAGACACTTTCTTGTGTCTCCGTGCATGGCACGGTGACGCATTCTTGTGTCTCCGTGCGAGGCCCGGAGACACTACCTTGTGTCTCCGTGCATGCACGAGGATAGAGACCGATCGCGGAGACACTTTCTCGTGTCTCTGTACTACATGCGCGGAAACTGAGACCTGTGTCTCCGTGCGCGGCACAGAGACACTTTCTCTTGTCTCCATGTGCAGCTGGAGACACGGCCTTGTGTCTCCATGCTACGCGCATGGAGACATTTTTTTTTTTTTTGTAACAGTGATATACATTTTCTAAAATTGTTCCAGAATAATTAGGTTGTAGAGAGAGAAAAGAAATAAGAAGGGTCAATTGAAGATGGTGTGTAGACTTTTTTTTCTTTCTTTTTTTAATTGGATTATGTTACTGTAAATTGTTGTAATGTGCTAATTGAAAACACAACTTCATTCCATACACCAAAATCAGGTCGATCACCGCCGGGGGCGTTGCCCATGAACCCCACGAGGGGCGCTGCCCTTTGACTCCCACGACCTAACCGGTCAGGTCAACCCCTCGGGGTGTTGCCCTCGAACCCCATGTGTGCTTTAATATCATTCTACTAATAATTGTCAATGTCATCTTTTTTATTACACATTCGCTGGTGAGCTGATATTTATCTGTTTTAATGTTTTAGTCAATCTTCAAAAGTTCCTCAAATACAATTTTTCCTATTCTCAAGTACATATTTATTGGTGAGCAGATAGTTAAAGTTATTTTCCTTCTTGAATTAGTGAATAATTTTGTTAGATTAGATTAATGTTGCATGTAATGTGTTGAGAGTTCTTAAATACAATTTTTCCTATTTTCAAAGTTGAATCAAGATACTATATATTTTTTTACACATAAACCATGTGAATGGATTGCATCGGATAAGAATCCTCAAATTGGTTTCTATTTGTATGTCGTGTTTGTAAATATAATTTGTATGTCGAGGCTTATTCTTTATTTTGTTACANCCCATTCTCAAGTACATATTTATTGGTGATCAGATAGTTAATGCTATTTTCCTTCTTGAATTAGTGAATAATTTTGTTAGATTAGATTAATGTTGCATGTAATGTGTTGAGAGTTCTTAAATACAATTTTTCCTATTTTCAAAGTTGAATCAAGATACTATATATTTTTTTAAACATAAACTATGTGAATGAATTGCATCTTATAAGAATCTTTAAATTGGTTTCTATTTGTATGTCGAGTTTGTATATATAATTTGTATGTCGAGACTTATTTTTTATTTTGTTACACACTCATTTTTAACATTATCCAATTAACGTGCAACACACGTTTGCCCCAGTAGTCTTAATTTAAAAGAGCGAAGTATTTTTTTTTTTTTTTTGAAAGGTGGATAATGGGTCAAATTATCACTACAAAGTTTCAATCGCTAAGTGTAACACATTTTAAAGAAGAGGAGTTTTTGCAATTAAAAATCTTAAAACAATATTTTAAAAATAAACATTTTACAGAAAGAGAGTATTGCAATTAAAAATGTTAAATAGCATTTTAAAAATAATTTATTTTATATTGCATTTTTAAAATTTGAGCAATATTAGATCATTCCTATGTGACGTGAAATTTGTATTAAGATCAATAATATGTATTTTGTATATATGCATTTAATTGATCTTATCATTTCACTTAGAGCAATGCTGCAATGCCGAAGAATATTTCACAAAATCCATAAGCGTGTTCAGTAGAGATTAAAATCAAATTAAAATTGAAAAACTAGTCGTTATTATTGACATTTATTAGACGAGTGAGATCCATAACGGATATACTTTCAATTTTAATTGAATTTTAAACATGAGTGAACACGTTCCATATAGTGTGCAGTTGGCAGATTATCACTTAGAGATGACAAAAATAAATGAAAATAAGGCACACATCACAACACCTGTATGGAGGGGAAAAAACTCTTCACCATATGTCCATGTTCGGTGTGAATTAAAATTTTAATAAATTTTGATAAATATTGATAAAATATATATTAAAAAGTTGTGAATTTCATATAATACATAATTAAAATTAAATTTTAATTTCTAACTTCGTACGTGTACCATTATGATCAGATTTTACCTTATTTGACGAATACCTTCCAAGTGTTCCCAGTACGTCCCACCAGCACTTAAATGGGCCCACAAACGTGGCCCAATCCAAGCTCCAATTACAACGTGTCTCAGAAGCGAAAATAACATTTTCTTTTACAGTGGGAAAATTTCAATGTTGGTCCTCAATTTACTACTCAAACAGTAGGTTGGTTCTCAACCCTTAAAAAAGAACAAATTAATCTGTAACTTTCTTTATATCGTATTTCCCGTCCCTCAAATGGACAACGTACGTATTTTTCCTTTATTGTCAAGTGAACTCTAAAAAGTAAATCTATAGAAATCTATATATCAACTCAATTGAAAAATTAAAAATAAAAAAATTCAATTTCATTGAGTTGGACATACGAGTATCTCGTAACAATTTAACATGGAACAGTAAAGTATTTGGATAGGATCATCGAGAATGTGATGTTTATGCAAAATGCACATATACGTCCCACGTACCCCAGAAGATCCAAATCAAATTACATTAACAGACACGCATTCTAAGAGGAAAACATAACATTCACGTCAATGCCCAAATATTTTATTGGCCTAGCGATTAATGAATATTGGACGTTTATAAAACTGGGTTTTTATGATTGAATTGTTGATAAAATTTTTATGGGATTTGTTCTTTGAAGATGGGTTTTGTGAGTACAGTACTGGTTTTTGTGGATTTGGAGTTGGCATTTCAACTGGGATCTTGAATTGTTGATAATTTGGTTGATAAAATTTATGGGATTTGTTGTTTGAAGATGGGTTTTGTGAGTACAGTACTAGGTTTTTGTGGATTTGGAGTTGGCATTTTAACCGGGATCACTCTTGGGTACTACTACTACATCTACTTCCAATCCAGCGATGTCAAGGTGCTCTGTGTGTGTGTGTGTGTGTGTAAATTGTAATACAAACAGACACACTCTGCGCAACTTACTGCGTGTTTTTGATATTTGGATTATTAATCTGAGAATTTGTATCTGCAATTCCTATTAAACATAACGAGATGCTGAGATTGCGGAATTGGGTATTAAGACTGGTTCGGTCAACTTTGTTTCAGAGGTGGAATTTAGCACTAACAAGTTATCAAACACATCTATACTTGTCAAAAATGAATGTGATTTTCATTGTGGGATGCTGCAGTCAATAACATGTTTGCCTTTTCTCTCACTCTAAGCTTATCATCATAATAAGTGACTTATTTTCGATTCTAACCAAGAATTGTTTATTTTAAAACTTTTTTTACTTAAGCTCAATCAAACATGCTGTATATATAACCAGCACGAATTAGTACGTGAATAGTTCAGGGTTAAAAATTTCAAGAGATTATAAACCAGCCTTACACAAATGAGTAAATCGGTTGAATAATGAAATTACTCCCTCAATTGAGATTTTTTAGCGAAGTATTCACTGTTTTGCTTCACTTAATAAATAATAATTCTTCTGCTTAATAGAATTTTGTTTAGCATCTTTCTTTGCGAGTCATAAGGATGTATTACATGAATGAAATGAGTATACAGCATAAATAAAATGGATCACACATTATGTAAACTGTTATAAAAGATCTTTTGCTGTTAACTTGACTAGGATCCCACTATCCGTCCGTTGGTTGAGCAAGAGAATGAAAGTTTGCAGCGATCACTTCACGAAATCCCCTTTTGGATTAAAAATCCAGATTTTGATCGCGTACGTGTATGGTTAATGTAATTACTTTTGAATAACTCAGCTTCAATTATATATATATTACAGAGTTAAAATGTTTATTTTTATGTTACTTTCTATTGAAATGAAGATTGACTGGCTCAACAAGTTCCTTCAACTCATGTGGCCTTACTTGGACAAGGTACTGTTTTGTTTTGCATATTGGTATTTTTTTACCTTGTCGTTGACTTCATAATTCAACTCTTCTCACATTAAATGTTAATGTTTTATTCATTCACTCACAGGCAATATGCAAGACGGCAAAAAATATTGTGACACCCATTATTGCTGAGCAAATTCCTAAATATAAAATTGAATCTGTGGAATTTGAAGTACTAACTCTGGGATCATTGCCACCAACTTGTCAAGGTTAGTTTCAAAGCTGGCAATTAGTGAGACTAAGTTTTGTTTTCCTATCATCATAAACATTAAGTGGGATTTAGCATGAAGCTCAATGGACGCGAAAAGACACATTTGTGTTCAAACTAAAACGAACACGAGTGGTCTAATCGCATTAGATTGAAATACAGTATGCTTACATAAGCAAAATAAATTAATACAAGATTGATAAAACTGATGTTTGGAACGAGAATGCTTTTAACTATGAGTACTGTCGTTCCTCTCTTTCTTGCAACATGCATAGATTCCACTGGGAAAAGGGTGTTTCGACTCAAAATTTTCTTTTGTGGCTGTTGACTACTCTTTTTACCATAGTGAAAGCAATGGTAGCTAAAAACACTTGTACCCTTGGACATTCTCCAATCTTTGAAGAAAAAAGTCATGTAGAGATGTTATTAGGAGCGGGTATGAACCAGAAAATTGCTTCTGTTTAAAAAAATGGAAAGGAAAAAAAAACATGGGAGAAAGGTGTGAATGGTATTGAACTGGCCAAAAATTCATGAAGCGGAAACTGTAGTTTTCCTAAATATTTCGATTGTTATTCAGAAGCTTCATGATAGGGGGATTGCAAGCGCATGGCTCAGTTTAAATGGGAAAAAAGAAGGGAAAACATAAAAGGAGTTTGAAATCTTACTTTTTAGTGGTGAATTTTTTATTAGAGCAGATTAGGGGATAGTGTACCTATCCCTTCCACTCGCCTTCTGTCGGCAAAAGATTAAATAAGAAAAATGAGAGAACCACAGAGGAACATCCCGAGAGGGAAAAGAAGAGGAAAATCACGGTGAGTGAATAAAATAAATGTTTTGCCAAATTATACAAGCAAAATCATGTCAGGCAGAACAATCAAGCAACATTTGAGAACTCTGAATATAGTCCTTTTTTTCTCACAAGATGTTAGTTTTACTTTTAGCGTCCTCTGCAATTCTGTCAGTCAATCTCAACTTGTCTTGCATTTTACTTTATACAAGATGATTGGTAGATGGCATTGAACCCTGAGAAGTAATTTGCAGAGGACGACAACTCGTTCCCAAAAGCATTTTACACCATCAGCGAGTCATCTCAGTTTTATAGCCAAATTCTTCATTAGATAGGCCTTGATATCTCTATCACCACCATCACAGCCGAACACATATTTTTAAGCTGACAAACTATCATGGTGAATTCTGTGTTTCAGAAAGACTATTATTATTATAAAAGTAGACAGGGACTTTGAATTGTACACATTATCGTTTGAAAATAAATCTCTATGGATATAAAGATAGTGGAAATACAGTTTTTACGAGGAAGACATATGCTACAGGTGTGTTATCAAATACCAACTTTGAAGAAAGAGAAATCAAATTTCTCTTAGTAGTGTTTCTACTTTCCAAGGTGCAGAATTTTGAGTCATAATCAAATTAAATCTAGGCATGATTCAGAAACCATTACACAGCAAATGATATGTCATTGAAAAGCTTATCGAGTCCGGATACCCACAAATTTTACTCATCTGAATGTGGACTTTCCCTTTAATTAAATGTATGATACAACCTTCTCTTTTTCCCAAGGCTGCATATTATTCATGGACTATTTCTTTTCTATTTATATGTAAACGTTTTGTGCTGGGGAAACATTTTCATCAATTTTGGATATGGAGACGCACAGTTATACTTGGGATAGAGAGGAACTTTTATGTATATGGGCTTGGAATCTGAATAATAAACTATGCTATATTTTCCTTGCGGTGACATTCCTTTAACTTTTCACGGCAGGTATGAAGGTCTATGTTACTGAAGAAAAAGAGTTGATTATGGAGCCATTTCTGAAATGGGCAGGGAATCCTAATGTCACAATTGCTGTCAAAGCATTCGGACTGAAAGCAACTGTTCAGGTTTCGTGCTTATTTAGAGGATTAATGATAGTTTATTGCCCTCTTTTCTCAAGACTTGAGATTTTTGATCTACTTGACAACATTCATTACTCATTATCTCCCAGGTTGTGGATTTGCAAGTCTTTGGGCTGCCACGTATAACCCTGAAGACACTTGTTCCAAGCTTTCCATGTTTTGCCAAAATTGTCATCTCTCTCATGCAGAAGGTTTGTGATGATATTTTAAAATTCAAAAGACGATTCCCCTAGAATGTTCAGATCCTGGTGAAATCTAACTGCTTTTGTATTGGATAGCTGACTGGAATAATCGAAGCATTTGATTTTGAATATATTTTAGCTTTTGACACTTTCCAAATACTAAGGAAAATTATTTTTCCATTTCAGACTTAGTTTGGAAGTGCTTTACAATTACTCAATAGATTTTGACTTGTTTATCACGTAGTAAATATATATGTTGCTTTGAGCTTTCCTTCTCTCCTGATAACCCTCCACCTTCAACTCTGCAGCCACACATAGACTTTGGGCTTAAGCTTGTTGGGGCTGATCTCATGTCAATTCCTGGCCTGTACAGGTTCATACAGGTATAATTTCTAGTCATTTCCTTAGCTGCTTGTGCCTGTTTTATGTCTCTTCTTGAACCAAATGGTTTTTGTGACATTTTTTTGTACAAATTAATCTGAACACTAAATTCCACATAAAAGTTGTGAGTCAGATATGGAAACCGGATTTTATTTCAAATTTAATTGTTACTACTAAAGCATATGCATATTTATCATGGCTTTAGCTGATGCAGGTGAAAGCTATTGAGCTCTATATGATTTTCTAGTTTCTGACTTATGACCTCAGGTTTTAACTAGTAATACATTATTTTAACTGTCCTTGAAATTTGTGGAAATCACTTTTTCTTCCTGAAGATTTCTGTGCAAGGACTTACCCAAAGGAAAAGTAAGAAAAAGATGATGATGATCTGTCGGAAAATGATTTTTGTTCGATTTATTTGTTCTAATAATCATTGGACATAGACTCACAATTGTTTGAATGTGTAATCCGCAGGAGATGATAAAAGATCAAGTTGCTAATATGTATTTGTGGCCTAAAACCCTTGAAGTACAAATTCTGGAGCCAACTACGTACGTCTGTCTTACATTTAGTGGCATGTTTGTGAGTGGCACTAGACATTAATTGAACAAGAATATAACTTATTTTCTTCCGTAATACTGTTTAGATCTATCTAATTCTACGTACTAAACATGCCGTTAGAATTTGTAAAATCTTGCCTTCAGTAGGGGATTTTTGGTACATGCCTATTAATAAATTCACTTGGAACTTTTAGAGCTATGAAGAAGCCTGTTGGGATTCTTCATGTGAATGTTCTGAAGGCAATGAAGCTGAGTAAGAAAGATATGTTGGGTGCATCAGATCCATATGTCAAACTGAAACTCACTGAATCGAAGGCTCCATCAAAGAAGACTACAGTGAGGCACAAGAATTTAAATCCCGAGTGGAATGAGGAATTTAGTATGGCTATCAAAGATCCAGAAACGCAAGCTTTAGAGATTTATGTTTATGACTGGGAGCAGGTATTCCTTGTTATAGTGTATAAACGAAAAAAATAAGTAACATTCACAAATATGTTGAGAAACAGAAAGTTACTTAAACATGATTTTTACATCTTTTGAAGCTTAGCCAAATTTGTCCTGAGTGCCTCAAGCTATTTATATCTCTCTCAGATTGGAAAACATGATAAGATGGGAATGAATGTAGTTCCTCTGAAAGAACTTACCCCCGATGAACCAAAACTTATTACATTGGATGTTCTCAAGAACATGAATCCAAATGATGCTCGAAATGATAAGTTGCGTGGGCAGATTGTGGTGGAGTTAACATACAGACCTTTCAAGGGGGACGATTTGCCAAAAGATGTTGACAATTCTGGTGCAATGCAAAAGGCTCCCGAAAGCACACCTCCTGGTGGAGGGGTACTAGTTGTTACAATTCATGAAGCTCAAGACGTTGAAGGAAAGCACCACAACAATCCATACGCGCGAATCCTTTTCAAAGGGGAGGAGCAAAAAACTAAGGTGTTTCTCTACATCTTGTTATATATCTATCCCGTAGACTGAAACAGGATTTTTTTCATCTCTAACTAAATGTAAATTTATTTGTTGCCACAGCAAGTAAAGAAGAACAGAGATCCCAGATGGGAAGAGGGGTTCACATTCATGTTGGACGAACCTCCTTCAAATGATAAGCTACACGTGGAGGTACTCAGCACCTCGACAAGAACTGGTCTGCTGCATCCCAAGGTACATAACGAACATTTTCTCTCATGAGCATGTAATAAAGATAAAAGGGTTGTGCTGGTTGTACAGGGACACATGTGCCTGTACAACCAGGGCTCCACATGGCGCCCCCCTATAGGTGGGGGCCTGCAGGAATAGGCCCCCACCTATAGGGGGCGCCACATTAGTACAGGGCCCATGTGGCCCTGTACAACCAGCTTTGTTCAAGATAAAAATAGGTAGATTCTTGAATCAAATTAGTTGGGTAGAACATAGTAAGAAAAACATAAAGAATTGGTGTGCAATCATGAAATTAGTGTATATGTCCACATTTTTGTGATTGCTTCACTTCTGAAAAGTGAAATTTCCAAACGACTGTCATTGACCAAATTGAAATGGCGAAGATGATAAAGTGCTACAAAAATGGAGGTGTCAAAATTGTGTCCGACCGCCCAGCCGGCCCATGTGGGATGCTATTTAAAAAAATGCACAAAAAAAGAAGAGACTAATGCCAAAAATGTAAATGCTTGAGGCATAGCACAGCCTGGGCCAGGCCAGATAAATTTAGGCGTGCCTTCCCAGCCCTTTTGACATCTCAATACAAACATAAAACACCGAAGTTTTGCACGAATAAATTATGAAATAATCCTTTTTGCTTCTTTTAATTTTTAAAAAAGAGTAGAAGAAAAGCATATCACCAATCATTGAGCTAGTTTCTCTCTGGAAAAGGATTTTTTTTTTCATTTAAGGGATTGCAAATTTTTTATGGAAACAAAGTATTTTTTCCGACTCTAGATGTTTGGATTGTAACACCACTTCTGTTTTTTTTTTTGGTCAAGTAAATCACAATCTGAAATTATTATTTTTAGATGGAACATAGCTATAATTTACATCAAAGCCTTTTTTCTCACTCAACAAATTACAACATATATATCCTAGAAGGTTTGCATATTGATAGTGGGATATCATCTATGATTGTTCATTTCGTATACAATATGTTTTATAGCTGTTTCTTCAATTGTTTGTGACTGTGTCATATTATTTTTGACTGTTTTGATGAAGATGACTAAATTGACTGTTGTTTTGCTATTTCAAACTTTTAGGAAAAGTTGGGGTATGTCGATATCAGTCTTGCAGATGTCGTCAGCAACAAAAGGATCAACGAGAAGTACAATCTTGTAGATTCAAAGAATGGACAAATTCAAATCGAGATGCAATGGCAAACACCTTCTTGAGCTCAGTAATCTCTTTCCGAATTGAGGTAGCCATTTGTATATTTATGTACATTTACCTATAAAGCTCGTTATC